TTAGTTCAGATATAGTCTAAGTTTTTTGTTTTATTTTTGTATATGATGTGTGTTTAGTTTTGTTTCTGTATTTTGTTCAATATAATTTGATGTTGGTTTTATATGTTTGACAATCGTAACACAGTGTCCGAATAAATCTAAAAAACTCATGTGTATCTTTTCATTCATATTTATCTTTAATTTAATATATATAGCAATAACCATCTTTCTTTTCCTATTGTAGATACATACATCTCTAGCCCTGAAGAGTACTATCTTGTAAAAGATACGAAACGCGTCGGCGAAATTAACTCTGCATTTTTTCATTATTTTAATTTAAGGACATTTATTTATTTATTTATAATTCTATTGTTTGACTTGATCGATTGCTGAAAAGCAAGAGTTGAGAACAGCAGATTGATTTGTATGATAGGCATATAGATCGATCTGTTTTTCATTGAATAAAACAAAAATTTATAATTGAAATGTTAAATAAGAAAACTGAAATGAAAAGGAGTAAAAAAATAAAATATTTATCCAATTTTTTACCGTTGAAACCATGTCAAATTGTTTACATCAATGAAAGAACACTAGCAGATCCAACAGAAGAATTAATTATGGAAATTAAAAGGTCGTCTAAAGTGACATTATATCCATATGATGATCAAAAGTTAGATGTACATCATCTTCAAATAGAACTAATAAAAGATAGAAGATCAATGATAATCAATATTGAATTTTTTCTTGGTATTAATAATCCGTTACAAGAAATAGGTGAATTATTATCTGTACTTTTTAATCCTTCGAAAATAATTCAAATTTGGGGCAAATCAGATAGATTTACATATGACTATAATTTTATAAACAAGTCGAAGATTATATTGAAATAAATCATATACATGAAAAAGTAATATTTTATTAAAATTGAACAAGTTTAATATGGAATTTGTTTTTGTTTTTAATTTAGAATAAATAAAGTTTCTTCATTAGCATCTATAAAAAAATAAATTTAGAAATTTAGTTGGCTTTAAAATAAATAAAAATAAATAATCATATATTATTCTATCTATTTCAGATATAAATATAGATATTACAAGCCCTGAAGAGTACTATCTTATAAAAGATACGAAACGCGTCGGCGTTAAATAAAATCTGCATTATTGCTTATACAATTTAATTCAAGAGCACATATTCAATTAATTTTAAAATAATATTTCATATCGACATAATAATCGATTGCTGAAAAGTAAAAGCTGAGAGTAGCAGATTAATTTATATTATTTAAAAGATATAGATTGATTTGTTTTCAATTTCTTTTTTTGAGATCTTCTATACAGGTACTTGCCACTTGACAATATTTTATTGAAAACAATTGAAAAACTTACTAGTTTTGTGGTAATTCTTCACACCCATAGTGATTAGAAATCTTTGATATTTGTTAAAAAAAATTTTTCACTATATAATAGTCATTGACTTTTATAATCGACTAAGATTATAGTTATAGTTTATATGATTATCGAAAATTTAAATGTGCAAATGTCTATATATTAATTATTACATTGAAAAGTAATTCATATGTTATATAATTTTACTCGAATTACTATCTAGTAGATGTAATATTAAGAATTCCACCTGAAGAGTCCCGCCAAGACAGAAACAACTTGTTGTCGTGGACAGGCGATTATTCTAATTCAAAATAGATAAGCCATCTGAATGAGTCCCTTAGTCCGGACGAAACCGGTCATGGCAGCTCAGAGATATTGTCTTCTCTTTTAATTCTTCTACTATAAGTTAGTTTCGACTACTTGTAGCACTGAAGATACATCTTGTTTTGGATTTTACTCAAAAAAATTCAAAATAGATAAGCCATCTGAATGAGTCCCTTAGTCCGGACGAAACCGGCCATGGCAGCTCAGAGATATTTGAGCGAGTTCTAACTCTTATGTAATTATGAAATTCTAAATATACCTGACGAGTCCCTTAAGCAAGGCCGAAACGTTGTGTGATGCTTTGAATTTCAACTATGTATTTATTATTACTTCACCCACACCCAACCCTATTTGACAGACATGAAATATAACATCAAGTAAAACGTATAATCCTACAACAAGAAGCTGCATATTTAGAAATACACGAGAGCATTCCCTAGGCACCCTTTGACAATTCAATGAATACTAACTTAAGGGACCCTGTTCCTTCACAAAGTTTCACACTACGGCGAGCAACACTACTATATAGAAAAGTGTATAAATATGTTATCTCCATACAAGCTCTCGTAATCTAGCGCATGGAGATCTCAACTAAATGAAAACTATAAACCTCATGCACACAATATCAAAATCTTTTATGATTGAGTATTATTATACTGGATTTCGTTATTACGAATTAGTTCTTAACTTCTTCAATTTATTGGAGAGTTTCGAATTCTTATGTTATTATAGATTGTAAACATACCTGATGATTGAACCCTTAAGCAAGGTTCGAAACGCGTCGTGTGATGCTCTGAATCTCAAAATCTTTGTTAATAAATTTATACTACTTCAATCATTTTACATACACACCCGCAAGACAAGCACGGAAACTTGCCAAAACAAACGTTAATGCAGCAACGAATTTCATGCGACAAGCATTTCCAGCAAAATTTTTACTACATCATGCAAAGTTATTATAAATGAAAACATTTATGTTATTTTCCGCTCAAAGATTGAGCTGCTTATAGCTATTTGTGTGTGTTTAATTATGGCCAAAAAGAGGAACAGAAAGAAGAAACTATTCCAAGCAACAACATCATTTTGATCTCTCAAGCTAATATTCTCAGTGTCACTTAATAAGATTACGTCAGCAACATCGAAATGCCTGGTCTTGTGGTACATTTACTCACTCATTTCCTTATTTATTATGTTTTATTAAAGCTTATTAAACAATTCGATTGACATTATGAAAAATAATATGCATTGTTCACATTAAAATCATTCCTCGCTTAAGCTCTTAAACGCGTCAATAATATACTGAATAATACCAGAGACTCTTTCTCTAATCTTACGTATAATTTGACTAATAGTATCGCGAATTCGTTGGAAGATTCTTGTAATCCAGTTACGTTTATCAAAAGTTACTGCCGTTTCTGTTAATAAATTTCTATATGCTATGTATTCAGGAGTATTTTCTGACACTCCATGTGGTCTCTTGTTCAATGCTGTGACGGTTGTTTTGTCTATTTCTATTGAAATGTGTTGCTTGAGCTGTTCTGAACTTTGAATCATAGCAACTTCTAATTGATTAATTTCGCTGTCAGTCGAACGTTTTGAGCCTTGCACCACCTCCGCACATGTTCTTCCAAAGTTCTCAATGTCAACGCGAATCTTTTCAATAACAGTGGATTCGGCCATTCTTTTTCAATATCTAAAAGAGGAATAAAATAACGTTAGGCATTATAGAAAGGAAAAAAGTTTGTAAAAGCTGCTTTATTATTAACTACGAGGTATTTTATTAAGTTTTTCATCAATTGCGTCCATGTATTTCTCCCATCGTTTCACCTGACGGTCAATGTCTGCTTCTAGAGATGCATGCAGTTCATCACAACTTTCGCCATTGTTCAATGCTTGCCAAGCTTGATGAACAAACAGGCGATGTCTATCGAAAATTGTCGTGATCAGTTCACGTAATTCATCCATTGTTCTTGTTACAAATATGAGTAGTCTTTTGTAAACTTCTTTACCTTGCCCGTTGTTGTTACCTTTCGTATCGCTAGGTCTACAACTGAGAACTTGTTGTCCTAGGTCATCAATTTGTTGATACATTTCTTCTCGAAAGCTTTTCATTTGAGTTCTCAGCATTTCTTCGTAATGTTGAACAGGCTTCATTTTCTCATCTGTTCGTTGTGTGAGACGCAAAGTCAATGGTTTCAGTTTTTGACTAAGATTCTTTTTCAAAACTAACGTTTGTGTTTCCTAGATAATAATAGACTTCATTTGACAAGTCACGAAAAAATCATTATAGATCATACTGTAATTGATTTCTTGGAATCATGTGATTTAGCATGCTAAATAAAGAGATGAAAAATAATATATCATCAACTTTCACCTTGACTTTTACATAATAACGCTTCACAAGAAAACTAGTAGACAAAAAAACCTATTTTTCAAGATTCTCGTTAGAGATGATTCCTTAATCACATGAAATATTTATCATAAACTAAAACTGGACTTATAAAGTTAGTGGTGTTGATAGAATCTTTAACTCACGTTGGATGCTGCCATTGTTTTCTTCAATGCTGTTTCAAAAAGAATCACAGGATTTTTGAAAATTATAACTGAAATAGAAAATGATCTAAAACAGAAGAAGGAAAATGATTATTTATAACAGGGAAATCATTATGTTAAAACTAGAGCTCATTTAACAATTGGTACACAGGTTGAAAAATTTCATTAATAAAATTCAATATTTCCTGTCCGTATTTTACTGTGAACTTGCTTATCTTCTTAATGACCTTACCAATTTGTTTGAAAACATTAGATAACTTATGTTTCGTTTTCTTGAAGCCAGCGTTCTGATGTTCAACCAATTTTCTATATTTCTCTTCTGCGCGTCGATCATGTGAATTTTTAGGACGATGACTGCGAACGTAATTTTCTAATCCGTCAACTTTGTCACATAACAATATCTTCAATGCTTCCGCTTTTTGTTCCACTTCTCGTTCCAATTCTTCCAGATCCCGGTCCTCCTGTACTTCGTTTTTGACAAAACTTTCAAGTTCTTTAACACCACCTGCCAATTCTGCATCAACTTGTTCTAGACTTCCTTCCGCAATATCATATGGGTCCTCTGCCATCTTCGATCGTTTCTAAAATTTAATGAGTAACATTACTAGGGATGCAACTTTGGCGATAACCGTACCTATGGTTAACCAGCCTCACCCACACCCACAATTGTCATCCGAGTGGAACTTATCAAACGGAAAATCGATTAGCCCGCGAACAGTCCGTCGACGTTTATTTAATGATGGTTACAGAAGTTATACTATGGAAAGGAAACCGTACCGAAAACCCACACATTGTTCTGCCCGATTACGAATTGCTCAAAAGTGTTCTGATTGGAATTTCAGTGACTGGAAGAATGTTATCTTCTCTGATGAATCTCATTCTGAAGTTTTTTATCGAAAAAATCGATCTTTCGTACGTCGTCTTGCATCCGAATCTGATAGACCATTTGATTTCCAACCTCGTGTTCAAGGTGGTTGTGGATCAATTAGCGTTTGGGGACTTATGACAACCAAGAGAGTTGGTCCATTGGTTTTTTATGATAGTCATATGAATGGTCAAAATTATATTAATTTTATTGAACCCGTATTATTACCATATGTTTAAAAAAATTTCTATAAAAATGATACTTGGTATTATGTACAAGACAAAGCACTGTGCCACAAATCAGCTTTCTCTACGAAATGGTTCGAGAAGAACAAAATTAATATTTTGGATTGGCCGGCTGTATCGCCGAACTTAAATGTAATTGAAAATCTGTGGGATATAATCGATAATAAACTTACTAATTATCGTTTGAACAATGTTAATGAACTTCAACAAGCTATTTTGGAAATATGGACAAAAATACCAACTGAAACATGTGAAAATCTAGTTCGATCTGTGCCCAGACGTATAAAACACTGTATACACGTAAAAGGAAATACTTCATCAAAATATTGACTTAATTTTATGGGAAAGCCTATGTACAAATTTATCTGTTCTTATAATTTTGGCCAGGTCAAAAGCACATTTTTTATGTTCGACTTTTTTTCACGAAAAATTGATACGTTGAAAATATGATAAATTGATATTCTGATAGAGCATACCTAAAGGTATATATACTGGTCGATAGATCGATTTAATCCAAAAAAGAGAAGATGAGAATAAAAAAAGACATTAAAAAAATGTTGTTCTTATAATTTTGTCCACTACTGTATATATATGAGCTATCTACTTTCCGCTGCAACTGATTGAAATAAATTATAAAATTTAATTCAATAGAGAGAATTTTCGTGGTAATAACAATAATTTAATTAAACTAGGCATGAAGCGAACCCAAACTTTTTAGGTTAGGCGAGTTTGGGTTCGGGTAATGTCTAAAAGTGTCAGTGTAATAGTTAGTTTGACATTCAACTATGATTTACCCTACTTTCATCGAAAGGTAAAAATGTCTCAAGTACACGTATCGAGCAGAAAAGATACCGACAAGAAAAGCTTTTGCGAGCGAAATTTTCGAACTATAAAAATATCGAAATGGTAGACTTAAAAAAAAATACGCAGTCGATATTGTTATTGTAAACAGAAGTGGATATCTATTATTTTTGTATGAAATTGTTCCTAATTTGATGGTTTCTCTTTACGGTCTCTATAGTCGAAACACTATGATTGTTATTTGTATTATACTCAGTGTATTTACGGGAACATTAAACGACTCAGAGTACAACAGTAATATATCATTAATGAAAGCGTGCGTAGTCTTTGCGAGAATTTGTTGGTTTTTGCGATGATGCCACAAAACGCTGTGTTGCTTGCGTTGAATGAAATAAGTAAAGGTTCTCAAAGTCTGCCAAACTTTCCACTGGAACGCCTATTAAATTATATTGAAAGAAATTGGTTATCATATGTTGAAATATTGAATGTATATGGATTTAATTCAAGTACAAGCAACATCTGTGAAGGTAATATTGAATCAAAACTTGTTTAAATGATTAGTTCCTTTTGTTTTCGCTGAAGCTTACTAAATCAGAATCAACTGTAGCATTTTTTGTAATCATCCAAACACTTGGATGTTCATAAACTTCATACAAGCAGAATAGAAAAGAGTTCAACTGGTTATAATCCAACAGTTAGATGCGTTTTGGGACTATCCCGGGAAACTCGACGAAGTATCTGTAACAACCGCTGCAGCAGATGAGCTAGATATAGGAGCTGCATAAAACGTACCCTCTAATTCTCCATAAAGGACTAATTAATCTTCGCATAAAGATTATCCTTAAACCTACAAGTCAACAGTTTCTGTTGCGTTCCAGAGCAACGATTCCTTCAAAACATACCTCACATAGTGCCAAGAAAAAAGCGTACAGACACCAATTATGTTTTGTGGCACCTACATCAAGATACATGCGCTTTGTGTCCCTTCGTGGCACCCACATTGTGATATCTCCTATATCTCGTATATCTACTATGTCTCCTATATCTGCTGCAGCGGTTGTTGCAGATACATAATCGAGTTTCCCGGGATACTAGCATCAAGGTATCTTTCTCTCGAAAAACAAAATTTGTTGATCTATAAACAGTTTGTTTGACCTTTGAAGTAATTGTGCTATAATTCTCTTTTAAAAGAATTCCGATCGAAAAAGTACATTATTACATAAAATAGTGTATCTCAGCATAGAGATTTATCGCTCTGAGTCATTGTTCTCCATATAAAAGAGAGATTCATTACAATAGGCCAAGTTACAATCTTTTACATAATATGAACATGGATACAAAGTATTACATTTACAGTTAGCTATTAGACAACAAAAACGAACCCAGCCCAAATCGGTTTTTAAAAACCAAAGACAAACTGAATAACACTCAAATCCATAAAATTTGGTTCGGTTTGTTCTCGGATTTATCAGAATGGCCTAACATTTCAGAAGCATTACATCTTTTTGTGAAAAACACTTACCAAATTGAGCTTTGTCAAGGGCGTAGCCGATAAAGACCGAAATTATACAACCAAGGATGGAAGTCTGAATTATTATATTATCGAGAGTTTAATATTCTGATTTTTGGATGATCTTATGTACTAATATGTAGACAGGAAATTTCTTTGGTAACTACAAATCAAAGCATTCAGTCTTACTATGTCACTCACTGAAAACCATGATATCGTATATCAAGGGGTATATTCACAAGTTTCTTAAATTCTTCAGTCTATTAACTCGTTTTTTTATCAAAATAGAAATCTATCTTTGTTTTTCAAAATAATCAAAAGCTTCCTCTTATCTCTGTAAATTTCATGATCACATAGATCCTACGTCTTCCATAACAAGGCTGTTCCGATCCGTGGGGACTCGCGTGTGACCCTCACCAATAATTGGAACTTTTTTGATTTCAATCAATAAAAAAATCGTTTAGAAATAGATTTGGTCAATATTTAACATCCCAAGAAAGAGCTAATTGGCAAGAAGGTATGTTGTTTGGGATTCATTAAATCATCTCTTTTCCTCGTCTGTCTATTAATTTTCTCAGTTGCATAGTGACGATTGATCTTACTTGATTATGATGATGACTGTTCTGTTTCGATTATGGCCTTCATCGTCTCATTTTCAAGAAAAAAATGGTTTATTACAACCAATGATGAGACATAAATCCATTACAGGTTTTGAAGAGTACTATCTTATCAAAGATACGAAACCCGTTGCAAAAATCATAACTCTACATTATTTCTTAGAGTTATTGTTGAGTATTAGAAGAGAATGAAACAATACATCCGACTATTTTTATCGGTTGCTGAAAAGGAAAAACTGAGAGAGAGCATATTGATTTGTCTTTCAGTTAGAAGAAAGGTTGGCCTGTTATCAAATTAAATTGATTTCTTCAAATTATTATTGAACAGTTTTGGATTGAAATATACTAATAGATTTTTAACATGCCTAGTGAGTCACTTAAGCAAGGACGAAACGCGTCGTGTAGATCGTTGAATACTAAAAACTAAATTTCTTCAGTTATGAAATGTTTTTTTTTGTTTTATTGTGTTTAAGTTTAATCTACTTCTTCTTTGGAAGAGTTCAAACTTATCTATGGAATAATAGTACTCTAAAGATACCTGATAAGTCCCTTGAGAAACGATAAAATCCGAATCGTGGTATGCTTCTTTCTATCATTTTTCATCTTATTTCGCCTGAATCCGTCAGCTCGTTTTGAAGACCGTTTTTTTAATTAGAAAACGGTCATCGTTATTAAGACGTATGAGGTCGTTTACGGACCGTTTTTTTTTTCAACATGAGCTGAGATCTATTAAAAAGGTCCTAAGGAAATTAGGATAGATCCTATCGGGTTCCTGGTTGAATAGATGGGCGGCAGTTAAGGTATGGATATGGATCTGAGTGAGAGTGTACTATGCACTGACAACAACACGGGTCTATATATACTGAAGTAATATCATAATTAATGAAAGAAGGAGAACATAATTGAATCCACGAGAAGCAGTTAACCCGCAAAGGACAAATCCCAACAATCCCTCAACATATATAAACACTAAACTTACCAAATGAATTGATGTTCGTTGAAGTTTGTGTTAATGTCGTAAAAATGCTGTGTAGTATTTAATCTAAAGTTTCACAAAATAGAGACCCATGTTTAAAATATAATACTAACACTGTGATAGTCTTTGTATTTTTGTCAGAAAGAAATTTAACTGAGTCGTAGGAGAGATCGATATTGACACTTTTGTTATGCAATTATGGATATCCATCAGTATTTTTGATTCAATGATGAATGTTTGAAGTCAAGTTAAACTAAGCGACCATATAGTTTACTCATCTACAGTTGCGCTTATGCCGACTAGCAAGAAAAAATCCGAAAATGAAATAAATTACTCGTAGCGAAGCCGCAACAATGTTATTGAGGATTCTAGAATATTTTTCGTACTATTATCAATGAAAGTCTTCAAGGCACTGTTGTACACTCTAAAAAAAATAGGTTTTTTACGAAACCCTCAAAAAAGGTTCCGTAGATGTGAAAACGTTTCAGAATGTGTCAAAACGTTTAAAAAACGCATCTTCAATTCTACCGAACCTTTAAAGGTTCTTCCCGCGGGCACACGGGAAGAACCTTTTTCTGAAAAACCTTTTTTTTCGCTACGGAAGTTAAAAATTGGGTTCGTCATAAAATACGGAATCTTTCGGGTTTCACACGAAACCTTCGATGGATCCTTATAAAACCGAAATGTTGTAGGGTTTACTGCGAAACCATAGATGGTTTCGTGTGAAACCCGAAAGATTCCGTATTTTATGACGAAACCAATTTTTAAGTTCCGTAGCGAAAAAAAAAGGTTTTTCAGAAAAAGGTTCGGTAGAATTGAAGATGCGTTTTTTAAACGTTTTGACACATTCTGAAACGTTTTCACATCTACGGAACCTTTTTTGAGGGTTTCGTAAAAAACCTATTTTTTTTAGAGTGTAGGGAATAGTAGTCAACAGCGTTCAGCAAAAGTACCATAATATATGAATCAAGAGATTATTTAAAAGCGCTTTATATTTTAAAATGTGATGCGGTTTCTTTGATGGAAGAAACCTAAATAATCTATAAGAGTTACTTTAGCGAATAAAAAACAACTGCAACAACTAGCCTGA